AGCGCGCTCGCCACTCAGCTGTCGCCTGCTCTTGTGGACGGAAACGTCAGAACTCGGTCCTTCTTTACGGGTGTTGATCTGCCGTATTGCACGCAATTAGAGCTCGGGTCAAGTCCACCTCCTCGACGCGCTGCAGCCCGGGTCGAAATCTTGACCAAAAAGCAAATAAATGCACGCTCCGCTATCCTAACCTAACCTCCTCGCGCCCGGGCGGCTCATTTACTGGCTATTTTCCTTGTTTCTGGCCTGGAGTCGACCCGGGCTGCAGCGCGTCGAAGAGGTGGACTTGACCCGACCTGAACGCGTGCAATCCGGGAGACCAAGACTCGTAAAGCAGGACCGAGTTCTGAACTCTCTGCTGACAAGCGGAGCCGCCAGCCGAGTGGCGAGCGCACTGGGGAGTGGTGCACAAGACATCCACGGCCCAGGGGTCGAGTCCTGGTCGGGGCAAACATTTTGTTGCTTTTTTTGGCAGGGGTGGGGGGGGCGGGGGGCTGCCGAGTAGGCGGGGAAGTCCACCTCCCCATGTCGGCTGGTCTTTTGTCCTAATTCTTGCTCCCCGCGCCGCAAACTACTAAAGAGGAAAAAACGAGCCTCGGCCAGTATTCGAACCGACAACCTTCGGCGTCCCGGGCGCGCGCTTTACTATCTGAGCCAATGATGCGGCTTTTGCATACGTGAAGCTTATCTCCAATGTGCCTCACACCCCGAAACATATGGCTGGCAGAGGGGCAAAAGGGTTCCGTCGACCAGATTCGAACCAGCGACTGTTTGCGTACCGGCCCATCACATCAGGTGTCGCACGGCTGTAAAGCCATGGCCAGCGGAGCGCGAAAAATATCACCCGCCGGCCGAGATTCGAACCAGCGACCAGGTTCATACCGGGCCCGGACGCTACCGACTTGGCCACGACGGAACGATAGTGAGTGCAATTTTCGGCGGCATCCAGATCTTAGCTGTGACTGACGCCCGAAGACACTTGGCCAGCAGAGCAGGAAAAATGATCGCGAACGGGATTCGAACTACCGACCATCCCCACGAATTACGAACGATCACGCTTTACCACGCTCGGCTACCGGCTTGCTCCTCCGGGGTCATGGTCTGAGCTCGGTCCTGCCTTATGAGGAAAAAGCGACAACAAAAAAAAAAGAATTGCCCCGCCCGTGAGTTGATCTTAGGGCCGACAATTTTGGTTCAAATGAAGCTGCATGCAGTCATGTTGACTGTAGCTACAACTGTTTAGCTACAAAAGGGGCTTGTGGCTGGTGGCGTCGGACATCGTATGTTGTCCTATTTGTGACCACATTTTTGTGTCCATGAACAGGGACGTGTCTACTACCACTTGTCGCCGCGACACGAGTCGTCGCTTGGACCCCTGCGAGGTAGGCCACGACTTCTCTCTAAGGCGTCTGTCATGACGGGGACTTTGGGTTTAGGTTCCTTTTGACCCTAGGCTCATAAATCCTTCCTAAAGCTTAGAAGTGACGCCGTGTTTATCTACGCGTGGGTCGATGATTGTCGCTGAAAACGCCTGGAGAGTAGGCAATGCTTTCCTGAGCCCCCCCCCCGCGGCCCCCCGTCCCTCCGAGCGCTTGGACAAGGCGAGAGCTTCGGAGAGGCATTGATATCTTTCGTTTTCGCTTTAGTTCTTAGCGCTGTTTACTTTTGGTTGATATTCTAGCATTGGCGGAAGTAATTCGTCTATGGACGGTTCAGTTTAAGCTGACTCGAGCACTGTCGGCTGTCGAGGGACGTGACGTAACCGTAAGCCCGGTGCAACGTGTCTCTGCGGGCGTGGAGTATGGACGATACCTCTAGTTTGGATGTGTGTCTCTGTGCTCATGGAGTATAGATGGTCGTGGTGGACGGAGTAGCAGCACAGGGACTGGTGAGTGAAGTGGAAAGAATTTTCGCCCGCATGTAAGGTGGGCCGCTTAGGTGAAGGCAGCACCCAGCACTACGCCACCATGTCAGCGACACCTACTGACATGTTTCTAGACAAAAAACAAAACATGACATCTATGGTTTTGGGATGTAAAGAAAACTCGTAACTTTTATTTTTCAAATTTTTATTGTAAGATTTCATTTCTTTCTTTAAAAAATTTAAGGATACTTGGCATAATTTATTTGCTAAAGAGTAATGTCCCTTTTGTGTGACACTTGCTATGCTGACAATTCAGTATGATTTCGGTTATCACAACCATGCTACCGATCCGAACCTCCCCTTCCTTTCATGGCCATCCAAGTGACCATCTCTGTGGTCATGGACAGTAGAATTTCAGGCAAATTTGATCTTTGTCGCCAGGGACCAAGCTGCTGGAAGCTTTTAAACAAATCGTTTTATTAAGTCACAAGTTGATAAGTCTTCTTATTATTTGACGACACACAATAGAGCTCATGACACACAATAGAGGCATTATGCAGTCGTGTGAAGCAGTGAAAGGTAAAGTCACATGCGTATATGCCTTTAATTTGATGCAAACATTTTTAGCCTTTAATTTTTTTTTCATTGTGTACTACTGATTTATCTAATTATCCACAAAGAATTTTAAATAATTTTAGAATCATTATCTATATTTTTTCTGTTGTTCTAGAGCATTTTGAGAAGTAGATGACATGAAGATGGGTACTTTCATACTTTCTTTGGTTTGTAAAATAGGACTTTTTAAATAAGCGTAACTTGAAATGAGATACTATAACAGTTCATTACAGAATAAAAAATATATTTTAAAGTAAATTAATCCACATGTATACCCAAGTTACATTTTATTTCGGGGAAAAATAGAAGAAAATTTAAGCCACGCAAAGCCTTAGGCGCGGTTTTTAAGGCGTGGGGGTGCCTGAAAGACTATTTGCAGTACAAAAGCCTGTATGTAGGCAACCCACGGTACACTGGTACACCCTTCCCGTCACCAGGGCGTTAAAGCTCACGAGGCAAGCGAACTCACACATCTTTAAGTGTATTTAAACAAGGTTTTGTAGCATTCATACACCAAATTGTGGCTTAAAATTGTGAGTCTTACTGAAGGGAAATGTATTGAAAAGCCCAACCAGGATTGATCTGACTCTTTTGACAGTCAAATTTGGCATAGAAATTAAAAAGGCAATTGGACATGTCTGCTTCTAGATCTAGTAGGAATTGAGAGAAACAAAACGGTCTCTAAGTGTAAAACATCCTGTGCTAAAATTTGTAAAGCACAGCCACCATCACGTATGAACTAAATGTATTCTTTCATTCTACCCAAGGAGAGTGTCTACAATAGCAGTTAGAGCATCAACATCTAGTTCATACAAAATTTGGACTTTAATACAGATCTTGCCAGATAGCACAACCATAAGAGCAAGAACAATAATTTAGCAGTGAAAAAAATAAACAAAATGGTATAAGAGAATTTCAACTGATGGATGTCACAAAAACCCCACAGACAACATATTGATTGATTTACAGTTTTGTTTATATTAAGATTTCATCATAACTTTGTCCATCTTCTAAAAAAATTCACATATGGAATAACTTTTTAAGTCACAAGGTTTTGGTTTTGTTTATACACGACACAAAGTGAACGAGCATTTACTTCAATGCTCACATGATATTTGGTCGGACAGATCACAACGTTTGTGATCGATCACAGAAGGGATCATGCGCCAAACTGAATTACAAAGGTCTTGTACCGATTACAACAACTTGACGGTCGCACTGAAAAGTACGTTTATCTCTTTTCGAGGTGGCGACCCAGTCTGGTGTCGCCCCCCGCTCAGTTTCTGCACAAGCCGGTGGCAAAGCAAAATGTCTTGAACTGCATAGAGGCGCGCTCTTCCACAAGTTGCAGGTCGGTCGGAGGTCCTCGCCCCGGCGGGGAGCGAATGGACGGAGTGCTGTGGCAGGTGAAGGGGCGGGACCCGCCCTACACCTCCAGTCATAACTCCGCGGTGGGCCGCTCGGCCTCGGCCTGGGGGTCGTCGCCGAACTCGGGGCCGATGCCGAGCTGCCGCCGCCCGGCCTCCACGTGCTCAGCGACGGGCGCGTCGTCGGCCACGTCCGGGTGCCGGTAGTGGAGGATGAAGTGGCACGTCCCCGGGATGGATTCGGGGAAGCCCTTGGGCAGGCACTCCCGGGGCCGCTCCTCCGTCGAGAAGCCCCCGTGTCTGGACAGCAGCCTACGACAAAGAGAGACAGGGCATCAGCACAGCCGCCGCAGACGGATTGAAAATTACAGGGCGCCTCGCACCATCGTGCTGGCGCACAAGGGCAGGGGGAGGGGAAGGGCGGG